ATGCTCTATCCACTGAGCTACCTAGCTGCCCAATTTGTAATTACTTAGGCATAAACTAAGCTAACTACAATTTACTTTTGTGCTATCTGTGAAATAAGAATTTGCTAAACAAAATAAAAATGTGAAGATTTTAAGAGGGACATCTATCCTAAAAAATCATATAATTTCAGCATAGAAATGGACCATAGAGATAAGCTTGTCTGAGTCCCTCAGTTGATATTTAAATCTTTTACAAAATGTTTCAGACTCTCTTTCTAGGTTTATTACATATGACTTTCCTTCATATTCTCTGTACTCCAGGCAAACTGGGCTAATTGTTCTCACCCAAAATATGCATTTTATCTATCTCCATCTCTTTGTGTTTGCATAGGCTGCTCCCCATACATAGAATACCCTCCTTCCTCACTTCTGCTTAGTAGATCCCTAACTTTCTTCAAGGTCCAATCCAAGTGCCCCCTCCAAATAAGGCCTATCCCAGTGTCCCTGAGATGTAAGTTTCGTGTTCCCTTCTCCCAGTAATTACATTGTATTTCTTCTTTTAAAAAAAATTTTGTGTTGGGGGCAGCTAGGTGGCACAGTGGATAGAACACCGGCCCTGGATTCAGGAGGACCTGAGTTCAAATCCGACCACAGACGCATAACACTTACTAGCTGTGTGACCCTGGGCAAGTCACTTAACCCCATTGCCTAGCAAAAAAAAGAAAACACACAAAAAAATTTGTGTTTACTCATAACTATTTATTTACATGTTGTTTTCCTCTAATAGAATGTAAATTCTTTGAGGAATAGGGACTTTCATTTTAATCTTTTTATTCCCAGGCACCTAGCCCAGTGATTGGCACATAACTAGTTTAATAAATGCTTGTGATACCAAAATAAAGTCAAAATGGGTGCACTATTTAGATATAAAGGCTTACACTATAAGCAGGTAGAATTGTCATTTTTATTATATTAGCTTGGCCTACCCATGAGCAACTGATGTTTTTCCAATTATTTAGATCTAACTTTATTTGTGTGAAAAATGTTTTGTGATTGTGTTCATATAGTTCCTGGATTTATTTTGACAGATAGATTCCCAAATATTTTATAACATCTACAGTAACTTTTTATTTTATTTCATTTTATTTTTTTAGGCAGCTGGGGTTAAGTGGCTTGCCCAAGGTCACACAGCTAATAAGTTTCAAGTGTTTGGTCTGAGGCTGGATTTGAACTCAGGTCCTCCTGACTTCAGGGCTGGTGCTCTATCCATTATGCCACCTAGCTGCCCCCACAGTAACTTTAAACAAAGTTTTTCTTTCTATCTCTTGCTTTTGGGCTTTGTTAGTTATGTATAGAAGTGCCGATGATTTATGTGGGTTTATTTTATATCCTGCAACTTTGCTAAAGTTGTGTATTATTTCAAGTAGTTTTTTACTTGATTCTCTAGGATTCTCTAAGTATACCATCATATCATCTGCAAAGAGTGATAGCTTTGTTTTCTTCATTGCCTATTCTAATTTCAATTTCTTTTTCTTCTCTTATTGCCTAAGCTAATATTTCTAGTATAATATTGAATAACAGTGGTGGTAATGGACATCTTTGTTTTATCCCGGATCTTAATGCAAATGCTTCTGGCTTGTCCTGATTACATACAATGCTTGGTGATGGTTTTAGATAGATGCTACCTATCATTTTAAGGAAGACTCCATTTATTCCTATGCTTTCTAGTGTTTTTAGTAGGAATGGGTGTTGTATTTTGTCAAATGCTTTTTTTGTATCTATTGAGATAATCATATGATTTCTTTTAGTTTTATTGTTGACACGGTCAGTTATGCTGATAGCTTTCCAAATATTGAAACAGCCCTGCATTCCTGGTATAAATCCTACCTCACCATAGTGTATTATTCTCGAGATAATTTGTAATCTCTTTGCTAACATTTTATTTAAAATTTTTGCATCTATATTTGTTGGGGAAACTGGTCTATAATTTTCTTTCTCTGTTTTGGCCCTTCCCAGTTTAGGTATCAGCATTATATTTGTATCATAAAAAGAATTTGGTAGGACTCCTTTTTCGCCTACTTTCCCAGATAGTTTATAGAGTATTGGAATGAATTGTTCTTTAAATGTTTGGTAGAATTCACTTGTAATCCATCTGGCCCTGGAGACTTTTTCTTAGGGAGTTCATTAATGGCTTGTTCAATTTATTTTTTCTGAAATGAGGTTATTTAAATATTTTATTTCCTCTTCTGTTAATGTGGGCAATTTATGTTTTTCTAAATATTCACCACTTCACTAACTTTGTTAAATTTATTGGCATACAGTTGGGCCAAAAATATTATATAATTAAGACGTCTAAGTATAAGATAGGACCTGTCAGGTTTCCACACAACCCTAAGATCTCTCACTACTACCCAGATCCAGAGTACTATTTGGATCAACATCTATTCTAGTCTGCACATTGAAGTTTTCCTTTAAATTAGTCCTTGCCCCAGATCAGACCAAACTATTTGAAGCAAAAGAATAAAAAAAAAAATGAATAACAAGGAAGAATCCCATACATATCAAAGGCTGTGGGGAAGGGCTCCCCCTGGACAATTCACACTGCTAAAGTTATATCTCCCCTGCAATACTGCAGCTCTTGGCCCTACTGGCTTGGTGTCCTAGCGGTTTTTGGGGTGCTTCCCTTCTGTCTCAGAGGCTGCTGCTTCTCAGTGGAGGTGCTGTAGTCATCTACCACAGAGCTGCTCACCTCTGCTGCTATTGCTGCTGCTGCTGCTAACATTTGCTAGAGTTGTCTGAGGCTACTGAAACTTCTTCCATACAAGGAGTTGTTATCCCTCTTTTGTGAGATTGCCCTAGCCAAAACATACTTAGGACTAATAATCTCACTTTCAGTTCTTTTGTGGATCTAGCCTAACGTCACATTTGGTCTGTACTTCTAAGAGTCTTTTTGATCAAAGTCTGTCTTTTGTCTCAGTATGAATTTCCTCAGGGGAACTAAAGGTCACCAGGGAATATGCTTTTGCTACACTGGAGGATCATGGTAGAGATGACCACTATTGCCCTTCATCAAATTATGTTCAAATTGCTGTTCTCCTTGCACAAATAAGAACATTGCTAGATAATTTCAAATCTGTGAGATTCTTTATTTAAAAATTTTTTTTGACATTCTTTTTTAAATTTTGAGCTCCAAATTTTCTGCCTCCCTCTTGTTCCTGCTACACACATTGAGAAAGCAAGCAATATAATATCCATTATACACTTGAAGTCATGCAAAATATATTTCTAAATTACCCATGTTGCAAAAAAGGTAAGAAAAATAAAGAAAATGAAAAAAAAATGCTTCAATCTGTATTCAGAGTCCATCAGTTCTCTCTCTGGAGGTAGATAGCATTTTTCATCATGAATCCTTTGGAATTCTCATGAATCATTGTATTGATCAAAGTAGCAGCTGATTTTCATTACAATATTGCTGTTTTTGTGTACAGTGTTCTCCTGATTCTGCTCACTTCACTTTGTAGTGCTTCATGTAAGTCTTCCCAGGTTTTTCTGACATCATCTCCTTTGTCATTTCTTATAGCACAATAGTTTCACATCACAATCATATACTTATTCCCCAATTGATGGGCATCCCCACAATGTCCAATTCTTTGCTACTACAAAAAGAGCTACTGTAAATATTTTTGTACATACCAGTCTTTTTCCTTTTTTTTTTTTATCTCTTTTGGATACAGAGCTAGTAGTGGTATTACTAGGTCAAAGGGTATGCATGGCTGTATAGACCTTTAGGCATAGCTCCAAATTGATCTCCAGAATGGTTGGATCAGTTCACAACTCCACCAACAATGCATTAGTGTACCTCAAATCATTGACTCAATGTGTCGGCCTTCCTGTAAGTGTCTGCTTTCTAATTTCTCTTGTCTGTATTTTTTCCCTTTCCATTCTTACCATAGTCATCCAGCTTCTCTAGAGTGTCTTTGGGGTCAGCCTGACATCAGTCATTTGGTTTAGACAGTTTTCTAGCCATGTAAAGCTAGGTTCAACAATATTAATAAAGGATAAATAATAAATATTTTCTTTACACCTTCTTCTGCAGTCCATTCTGGGAACCACACAATGACAGCTTATATCTCTTAGAATTTACAAGATGCCTTTACTTCCATTATCCCATTTAACTCTCACAACAGCCCTGGGAGGTAAGAAGGGCAGATACTGTCCATTTTTTGAATGTGAAATTGACTTGCTGAAGGTCACAGAGGTGGTAGCAGTAGAGAAGGAACTCTAGGCCAGGGTTCTTTCCACTCAGCCATGGCTAATGGGGGATGCCAAGGACCCTGTAGGACTGGTCAGGTGACATGTTCTAGAAGGAAGTCAAGAGGAAAGGGATTTTTCTGGAGCATGGTCCTGGCAAAGATATATAAATTTTTCTCAATGAGTAGGTGATGATACCATTTTAGATGGTTGTTTTATTTTTCTGAAATTTTTCCCCCCCAATACTAAAGGGTGAGGTAGTAATTTCAAAGCTCTGTTCCCTGGAAGTCCCCCTATCAATAACAACAACAATTTATATTTATATAATGCTTTGAGGTTTGAAAAGCTTCCTTAAAACAACTGTAAAGTAGGTAGTGCAAGTATTACTATCTCCATTTTACAAATGAAGAAATGGAGGCTCAAAAAACTTGTGATTTGTCCATGATCACAAAACCAGTATGTCTGAAGCAGGATCAGTATTGAGGTATTCTGACTCTGAAGTTCAGCATCACTCTTTCCTCTCCACCCTCATCAGCTCAGAAGCCCCCCTTAGTGGCCTGGTATTAGGAAGACTGTCTTGGTGTACTCCAAGGAACTAGTTCACATGGCACTAGCTACTATGATTCATTTTTGTATGTGGAAAAATATGATTTTTTTGAGATTACAGGGTGGAAAAATAACGGACATGGCTTAAATGTCAATGATGGCATCACCAAAATTATCTTTAGATTCAGTTTAGTCAATGTATTTTGTTACTTCCTTTGTTTTAGAATCAACCGACCTGCTAGAAGCAAAGCAGCACAATCATAGACTGGACACAGAGACTCTGGCATTAAGAAATCATGTCCAGAAAGACTTGGAAAGAAAAATGTGTGTGGAATTGGTAAGACTTTAAAGAACTATTTTGTAATTAATAACTTCAATATTATTATTATACTGCATGACCTTTGTAGACGTACAATTGGTACAAATTATGTCCCAAGTAGTGCGAATAATGAATCCCATTAAGGTGCTGCATTATTCCAATTCATACTTTTTGAAGTTATAATTATATATAAAGTATGGCTATTGGTTCCAGCCCAATGGAAATATTCCATGAAAAAAATTAAAATAAAATTTTATGTTTCTTTACATAATAAAGGATAAGGAAAATGTGTTACTGATTCAAGTTAAGTAAAAGAGTAGTTAAAGAAAGTGAAATAAAAAAGACTGAGTATTGTATTTAAAAATAAGCTTACACTGATGATATGATGAAAACATTGTCATTTAAAACATTTTAGCAGCACAGACTGAACTATTTTCTTCCTTTAAATCTTCATACATACACTGGTAGGCACAGAGAACTTTATCCATAGCTTGGAGAATTTGCACATTCACATTCTCATACAGTGAACCAAATATAGTTGAATGATCTGGAATATTATCTAAAATCATTAATGCTTTAAATATGATATTGTTGTCATCGAAATATTTTTCAACACCTGGGCTAAAATAACTTGAAAACCAGTCTCTGAAAACACCTTTAGTCACCCATGCTTCTTATTTGCCTGCCAGAAAATGGGAAGCAATCAATGTGCTTTAGTATCTCAGAGCTTTTGAGACCAATTAACAAGAATTGGTTTTAATTTAAAATCTCCTTTGGCAATACCTCCCAAGAAAAGTGTGAGGCAATCTGTAGACACTTTAAATCCAGGTTGAGTTTTTTTCTTTCTTAGAACTGTAAGTTCTGGAAGGAATCCTTTTCTAGAACAAGACTGTTTCCACCACATTAAAAATGTATTGATCAATGTATCCACCTTCTTTGATTTTTTTTTCTTCAAGACATTGGCATATTAAGCTTCATAATCCCTGTCTGCACTTGCAACCTCTCTGGTAATTTTAGTGTTAAATTGAACAGGATGTTAAAATCAGTTGAAACCACCAACACCTGAGGTAAAAGTTTCTTTACTATCTCCTTTATTTCCATTTTCCCTTCCAAGTAAGCTTGAAGCTTTTGTCTAAATGGCTACTCTGCTAAGTAGAATGCATTTTTGATTTATTGTTATGGCATAATAGTATTGCATTATGTTCATTGGCATAGCACTAATTTAAAACCAGATGGTAGCAGCTGAAGATATGGCAGGGTAAAGGTAACAGTCTCTCTGGTACCAGTCCTCAGTCCAGTTTATTGATAGCTTTGATCTTAAGAGCTCTCCTGAATCACTTAGCTTACCTGAGGAAGATTTTCCTTAAGCTTAGCCGAATCTAAGCTGCTGTGCGCAGGAGAGGTAGTGTTTCTAGGAATATGTAACCTTAAGGAGACCTGGATCTAGATTTCCTGAAGTCCCTTTCTATGCAGGGAAAGAATTGGGAGAATCAGTCTAGAAACTATCCATAAGGAAAAGTTTATCTCCTTCTACTCCACTGCAGATATACACATGTACCATGAACATACTAACACATGCACTGACAGATTATTCATATACAAATAAATTATAAAATATATAGATCAATTACAAATATAGACATGAGATATAAATAAATTGATGAGACACAGAGACAAGCACAGGTACACTAACACCCAAGATACAGCCAGGTGGTGTAGTGGAGAAAGTGCTGGACCCGGACTCAGGAAGACTGAATTCAAGTCCATCCTTAAACACTTACTAGCTATGTAATCCTGGGTAAATCACTTGATCTGCCTTAGTTTCTTCATCTGTAAAATAATAATAGCAATCCATCTCCCAGACTTGTGAAGACAAAGTGAAATATTTATAAATCCCCTTGCAAACCTTAAGGCACTATATATACACATGCATAAATGTATGTAGGAGAGAGGCTATTGTGCCTAGCATAGTGCCTTTTGCATAGTAGACAGTTAATAAATGTTTGTTGAATTGAATTTCCAAGTATTCAAACACTCATAAAATTAGCTGGAGTGGAAATTAGAGAATATTTATGGAAATACTAATTAATCAGTCAATAAACATTTATTAAGCACCTATTTTGTGCCAGGTACTATGCTGAGGACTTTAAAATAGTATCTCATTTGATCCTCACAATTATCCTGGGAGGTAGATGCTAAAATTATCTCCATTTGCAACAGAGAAAACTGAGGCAAGCAGAGGTCAAGTGACTTGCCCCAGGTCACACAGCTGGATTTAGACTCCAGTCTTCCTAACTCTAAGCTACACACTCTATCCACTACGCTATCCAGCTGCCTCCATTTAGCAGACACGACATATTCCTTGCCTAGCTTTCTCTTTGCTGGAGGGTTCTTCCAGGAGCCAAGACAGTGGAATAAGCAGTAAATCACCATAACTCTTCCATATTTACTTCCAAACAACCATAAAATAGCTCCCCAAAATAAATCCTGGGTCAGCAGAACCAGCAAAAAGAGGGGGTGAAACAATCTTTTAGCTCAAGAAACTTTGAAGTTTGGCTGGAAAGGTCTGTCTCACTCGGGTAAAAGGGGAATGAAGTCCATTACGGGAAATGTCCCAGCAAGCCAGCAGCAAATCCCACCTCAGCAAACCACTGGAAGATCCTGAGCCCCAGTGCAGTGGAGCAGGCAAACACCAGGTCCTCCCGTGTGCCTCAGCATAGGCAGGGGAATGGGCAGACTCCAGCTCCAAGAACCACCAAGTGCTTCAGCATAGCCCTGGAAAACAGGCAGCTTCCAGAGGCCAGACCACCACTTGCATCAGTGTAGTCCTGGAGAAGCATAGAAACACCCCCACTGGCTTTAGCACACACCAGCACACACCAGACACCAGGCTCACCTCAGGTAAGCTGCCAGACCCTTATGGCTTCCAGCAGCATCGGCCACCCCCCACCCCCCTCCCTCAGCACACCACCAGACACAAGGTTCCCCCGTGGGCCTCAGGGCAACAGCAGTGCAGCACCAGTTAAACAGCCGGGGCTGCAGCCCCTGGCACAAGAAGCCTGAGACAGTGCCCCTTCTACCGCAGGAGCAGAGCTCAGATCTAAAAGAAAGGAAAAAGGCCAAAAAAAGAATCTGACCATAGAAAGGTGTTATAATGACAGGAAAGATCAAGGCACACAAACTCAGAAGAGGACAATGATGGCAAAAGACCTGTGGGCAAAACCCCAAAGGAAAATGGAAAGTGGTCTCAAGCCCAAAGAGAACTCACGGAAGAGCTCAAAAAGGCACTTAAAAATCATAGGAGAGGTAGGAGAAAAATTGGGAAAAGAGATGAGAGTGATGCAAGAGTATTATGAAAAAAGAGTCAACAGCTTGGAAAAAGAAAACAACTGCTTAAAAAGTAGAATTGGCGAAATGGAAAAGAAAGTACAAAAGCTGAGGAAAACAGCTCCTTAAAAGGAGCAAATGGAAACTAATGACTCTACGAGACATCAAGAAGCAATCACACAGATTCAGAAGAATGAAAAAAATAGAAGAAAATATAAAATACCTCATTGGAAGAACAACTGAACTGGAAACTAGTTCCAGAAGAGACAGTATCAGAATCACTGGGCTATCTGAAAGTCATAATCAAAAGGAGAACCTGGTCAGCATCTTTCAAGAAATTACCAAGGAAAACTGCCCTGAAATCCTGGAACAGAAGGCAAAACACTCATGAAAAAATCCACCGATCACCTCAGGAAAGAGATCCCAAAATGAAAATTCCAAGGAACATTATAGCCAAATTTCAAAACTATCAGGTCAAGGAAAAAATACTGCAAGTGGCCAGAATGAAACAATTCAGATATAAAAGAGCCACAATCAGGATTACACAGAACTTAGCAGCTACAATGTTAAAGGATTGGAGATCATGGAACATGATATTCTGGAAAGCAAAGGAGCTAGGACTACAGCCAAGAATCATCTACCCAGAGAAATTAAGCAAAATACTTCAAGGGGGAAAATGGTCATTCAGTGAAATAGAAGAATTTCAAGTTTTCATAAGGAGAAGACCAGAATTGAACAAAAAATTAGATCTCCAATATCAAGACCCAAGAGAAGCCTAAAAAGGGAAAAGAAAACATAAGGGATTCAATGAAGCTGAAGTGTTTACATCCCTACATGGCAAGATGATACTTGTAATTCTTAGAAATTGTACCACTGAGGGGCAGCTAGGTGGTGCAATGGATAGAGCACCAGCCTTGGAGTCAGGAGGACCTGAGTTCAAATCTGGCCTCAGACCAAACACTTGACACTTACTAGCTGTGTGACCTTGGGCAAGTCTCTTAACCCCAACTGCCTCACCAAAAAGCAAAAACAACAACAAAAATTGTACCTCTGATAGTACAGCTAGAAAGAATATACATAGACAAAGGGTATGGGTGCAAGATAAATTTGAGGGAATGACATAAAAATGATTAAATGCTGAGAAAGAGTCTCACCCAGTACATTGGGTGCAGAGGGAAGGGAGAAGTAGAATAGGGTAAATTATTTCACATGAAGAGGTGTGAAAAACCTATTACAGTAGAGAGAAAGGTGGGAGGGTGGGCAATAGTTATTGCTTGAAACTTACTTTCTTCAGTATTGGCTCAAAGAGGGAATAGTATATATAATCAGCTGAATATGGAAATCTATCTTACCTGGTAAGAGGCAAGGAGATTAATAAAGGGGGGGGTGAAACTAACAGAAGGGAGGGCAGATTGGGGGAGGCATCAGAAGGAAAACACTGGTGAAGAGGGAAAGGGTGAAAGAAAGGACGAACGGGGGGAAAATAGGATGAAGGGAAATACACAATTAGTAATTATAACTGTGAATGTGAATGGGTGAATTCTCCCATAAAAAGGAAACAGATGGCAGAGTGGATCAAAAACCAGAATCCTACAATATGTTGTTTACAAGAAAAACACTTGAGGCAGAGAGACACATAGATTGAAGGTAAGGGGCTGGAGCAGAATCTATTATGCTTCAGCTGAAGTTTAAAAAAAAAAAAG